CACCCTGTTTGTGCGCGCTCCCTGGGAGCGCGCAGCACACGTGATCTGGTGCCCGCTGTGTCCTCCGGACACAGTGGAACACCAATCATCAGACGGGACCTCTGTACGAGGTCCCGATCATGTGATCACTGATTGGCCAATCAGTGATCACATGCAAAGTAGTAAGCAAGATGTCACTTGTGACATCATTGCTTACTACGTGTGAAATCTGTGAATGATCACCGAGGTCACATGGTACAAGGCTATTCACAACAGCCTTGTACCATGTGACAAGCTGTGACCAATCACAGCTCACTCAGTAGTTCTCAATGGCTGCAAGAATGCAGCCAGAGAGAAGGAGAAATTATTGCTTTTACATCCTTTATGGGTGTAAAAGCAATCAGTGTAAAAAAAAAAAAAAAAAAAAATACTCATCACCTCCCACAAGTAGTACAGTGTCACCATGGTAAACCTGTACTGCTAGGGTGACAGTATGTAAAAAAAAAAATAAAAAAGTAATATAAAATTTTTTTTTTTTTAAATGTTTAAAAATTATAATTTTGGTTATAAACTAATTTGTTTTTTTGGGGTTTTTTTTTTAACTAAAAACATAAAGGAATAAATTTTGGCCAAGTTTTATGATGAAATACTATTTATTTGCAACATTTTATAAGAAAAACACTTTTTTTTCAAAATTTTTGGACTTTTTAATCTACATAGCAAAAAAAATAAAAATCCCAGTGCTGAATACCACCAAAATAAAGCTTTATCTGTCTCAAAATGCTAAAAAATTCATATGGGTACAGTGTTGCATGACCGCGCAATTGTCATTCACAGTGTGATAGCGCTGAAAGCTGAAAATTGGCCTGGACTGGAAGGGGGTAAAAGGGTCCGGACTGGAAGTGGTTAAAGATGCACGGTGAGAAGGTTAAGATATAACCTGAGTGAAAACAGACAACAGGACCAGAAAAATGTCCTTCCACATATAAGTGTCTCAAAAAAGTGATGGTGACCACAGAAACAAATAATAAACAATAACGTGCTCGAGTCCCTGAATTTGGGACTTAATGTGCTTTATAAATAAACATCAAACTGCGACAACAAAGGAGTTTTAAAAGTGACGCAATGTGCTACATAGATAAATAAACGTAATTCTATACAAAAAGTGGCAATAAATAAGTGCCACCAATGGTTATAATATTAAACAAATGTGTAGCGCAGCACCATTTTTTCAATTCCCTTGTATTCTATGCAGGTGTATAGTCAGGTGACAGCTGCTTAATAATTTTAGGTTATTATATATGTCATTTGTGGTTAGCGCAGGTGATTCATATACTGTCATCTGTCAATGCCATCACTCAGAGGCTTATTAGTCCACTTGTGATAGCAATAAAGTTAAATGAAAAAAAATGTACCCTCTTCTACAGGTGAAGCTCGAAAAATTAGAATATTGTGCAAAAGTACATTTGTTTCAGTAATGCAACTTAAAAGGTGAAACTAATATATGAGATAGACTCATTACATGCAAAGCAAGATAGTTCAAGCTGTAATTTGTCATAATTGTGATGATTATGGCTTACAGCTCATGAAAACCCCAAATCCACAATCTCAGAAAATTAGAATATTACATGCAATCAATAACCAAGGATTGGACCTCTGAAAAGTAGAAGCATGTATATATACTCAGTACTTGGTTTGGGCCCCTTTTGCAGCAATTACTGCCTCAATGCGGCGTGACATGGAAGCTATCAGCCTGTGGCACTGCTGAGGTGTTATGGAAGACCAGGATGTTTCAATAGCGGCCTTCAGCTCTTCTGCATTGTTCGGCCGCATGTCTCTCGTCTTTCTCTTGGCAATGCCCCATAGATTTTCTATGGGGTTCAGGTCAGGCGAGTTTGCTGGCCAATCAAGCACAGTAATCCCACGGTCATTGAACCAGGTTTTGGTGCTTTTGGCAGTGTGGGCAGGTGCCAAGTTCTGCTGGAAAATGAAGTCAGCATCCCCATAAAGCTCGTCTGCGGAAGGAAGCATGAAGTGCTCCAAAATCTCCTGGTAGACGGCTGCGTTGACCCTGGACTTAATGAAGCACAGTGGACCAACACCAGCAGATGACATGGCTCCCCAAATCAACACAGACTGTGGAAACTTCACACTGGACTTCAAGCCTCTTGCGCAGTGTGTGCCTCTCCATTCTCCCTCCATACTCTGGGTCCTTGGGCCTCTCCATTCTTCCTCCATACTCTGGGTCCTTGGGCCTCTCCATTCTTCCTCCATACTCTGGGTCCTTGGGCCTCTCCATTCTTTCTCCATACTCTGGGTCCCTGGTTTCCAAATGAGATGCAAAAGTTGCTCTCATCAGAAAAGAGGACTTTGGACCACTGAGCAACAGACCAGGTCTGTTTTTCTTTAGCCCAGGTACGACATTTGAAGCCCATGTCCAGGATCCGTCTGTGTGTGGTGGCTCTTGATGCACTGACTCCAGCCTCAGTCCACTCCTTGTGAAAGTCCCCAACACTTTTGCATGGCCTTTTCCTGACAATCCTCTCCAGGCTGCAGTCATCCCTGCTGCTTGTGCACCTTTTTCTTCTACACTTTTCCCTTCCACATAACTTTCTATTAATGTGCTTTGATACAGCACTTTGGGAACATCCAGCTTCTTTTGCAATTACCCTTTGAGGCTTTCCCTCCTTATGGAGGGTGTCAATGATGGTTTTCTGCACAACTGTCAGGTCAGCAGTCTTTCCCATGATTGTGATTCCTACTGAACCAGACTGAGAGACCATTTAAAGGCTCAGGAACCCTTTGCAGGTGTTATGGCTTAATTAGCTGATTAGAGTGGGACACTTTGAGCCGAGAATATTGCACCTTTTCACAATATTCTCATTTTCTGAGATTGTGGATTTGGGGTTTTCATGAGCTGTAAGCCATAATCATCACAATGATGACAAATCACGGCTTGAACTATCTTGCTTTGCATGTAATGAGTCTATCTCATATATTAGTTTCACCTTTTAAGTTGCATTACTGAAATAAATGAACTTTTGCATGATATTCTAATTTTTCGAGTTTCACCTGTACGCTCTTTTACTACTACCAATAGTACTACCAAACCCCGCTGACAGCTGAAACATTAAAGAATGTTTTTACTGCTAAAATATCAAATTACTTATTAGAATAAGTCATGCGGTATTTTAGTAGCTGTGCGGTATCTTACTGCGGTAAGACACCGCTTAGTGAATTGTCCATATAGAAGTTCACAGTTGAACTTTGTTAGGTTCGAATGTTCGACCGCAAACTGAACAGGAGGGTGTTTGTCCCATCACTACTGGTGATATTAGTGTCAGATTGCCCACCGTACTATTACAGTCCCACTATAAGTCGCTGATTGCCACCTTTACTAGTATAAAAAAAAAATTCCAGTATATATAGTGTCATTTGTAGACGTTATAATTTTCACGGAAACCAATTAATATACACGTATTGGGATATACCAAAGACATGTAGCAGAATACATTTTGGCCCTAGATTTATAAACAAACTGTATTTTTTTTTTTTAAATTAGATGTTTTACAGCAAAAAGTAAAAAATATAGTTTTTTTTTCTCAAAATTTTCTGCCTTTTTTTTTGTTTATAGTGCAAAAAATAAAAAAAAAAAACAGTGGTGATCAAATTCCACCAAAAGAAAGCTCTATTTATAAGAAAAAAAAAGATCTATTGCATTTGTGTACAGTGTTGCATGACTGCGCAATTGTCAGTTAACCTCCCTGGTGGTGTGATTATGTCAATATTTTTGAATGTCAAAGCGGCACATTGTTCTGCATGGAAATTTAAGTGTCTGATGAGGAATTTCCCCACAAATCATTATCGCTCAATTCTGCAAGTGATTCTAATTCACTATCACTGTTCTCTAGCCGGTCTAAAACCGCTTTTGACCTAAAGGGACGCTTTTTGGACGCCATGGATGTTCTCAAGTTTCCAGGCAGAAAGAAGGGTAATAGTGCAGGCAGGGCACAGGACAAAGCACTCGGGACAAAATGTATGTGAAATGGTTTGATGCAGTAATGTAATACTCAGGGGCGGACTGACAAACTCATGGGGCCCCCGGGCAATAGGGGATCATGGGGCCCCTGTGTCCTTGCCCAAACTCACAAAAGCCTATGAAAAAGGTACCAGGGGCATCTCATGGGGCCCCCTACTGAGCCCGGGCCCTCGGGCAGTGCCCGAGTTTCCAAATGGTCAGTCCGCCCCTGTTTGTGAAATAAAAAGATGAGGTTACGTTGAGTGAATAGATACCATGAATGTGAAACCTTAACACTGTGCACGCCCTCGAAATGGAGAAAAACTTTAGTACTCAAAATTGCCCATAAGCAACGCTCTAAAAGCCTTTACAGGTCATAATTTTACGGATAAGATCATACATCTTGTTCAGTTTGACATGCCTGTGTTATTATGTCCATTGTGAGTATGATACCTATTTTTGTTTCTTTAATAAATTATTTTAAACGATAATGCACTAGGTCGGTGCGCCCTTTTTCTGTTTCTCCATTTGTATCCAGTGTATTCGGACCACCCCGGTCTGTTGAGGGCAGCAAGCAGTGCATATTCCAGAAAATTCCAGAACATTCCTATTGGGTCTACTGAGTCCTTTCCTAGCGCAGGAGTAAAGTGTTTGTTGTGTTGGATTTACCTTTTTTATAGGCTTTTTTGAATGTGGGCAAGGACACAGGTTCCCCATGATCTCCTATTGCCCGGGAGCCCCATGAGTTGTCAGTCCGCCCCTGCTTCAGCTTGTTCAATTGAGCTTTGGCAATATAAGCTGGAAGCTGATTTGTTCCTATGCAGAGCTGCCCCAGATTGCGCATGCACCAGTTTTAGGAAATAACCCCTATGTGTCACAATATTTAGCAACTGACTATCAAATCTATACTTTGAATAAAAAAATACATGAAAATTAATTTTAGTGCACACAAACACAATATAATATCCAATTGTTTCGTGAACAGGGGTGGACTGACAACTCATGGGGCCCCCGGGCAATAGGGGATCATGGGGCCCCTGTGTCCTTGCCCAAACTCACAAAAGCCTATGAAAAAGGTACCAGGGGCATCTCATGGGGCCCCCTACTGACCCCTCAACAGACCGGGGTGGTCCGAATACACTGGATACAAATGGAGAAACAGAAAAAGGGTGCACCGACCTAGTGCATTATCGTTTAAAATAATTTATTAAAGAAACAAAAATAGGTATCATACTCACAATGGACATATTAACACAGGCATGTCAAACTGAACAAGGTGTATGATCCAAACAACATCTGAATCCATACGATGGAACCCTGGATGACCAACTGCCTAACGCATTTCGAGGACACAACCTCTTTCTCAGAGCTCGGAGGAAGAGGTTGTGTCCTCGAAAACGCGTTAGCCAGTTTGACATGCCTGTGTTATTATGTCCATTGTGAGTATGATACCTATTTTTGTTTCTTTAATAAATTATTTTAAACGACAATGCACTAGGTCGGTGCGCCCTTTTTCTGTTTCTCCATTTGTATCCAGTATAAAAAAGGTACCAGGGGCATTTCATGGGGCCCCCTACTGACCCCGGGCCCTCGGGCAGTGCCCCAGTGCTTGATTGGTCAGTCCGCCCCTGAGCTGAAGTTAGAAGCTGATTGGCTACCATGCAGAGCTGCATGCAGATTCGGAGTGCTCCAGTATTAGTAAATCTCCCCCTTTGTGCCATAGTTTTATTCTACTCTGCTTTTGGAAAATGGATAATAGTGTGGGGGCTTCAAGTAATTTTCTAGAAAAAAAAAAAATGCAGGAAAATAAAAAAGTAGTGAGGTGGTTAACCGAAGAATAACTGGCCTGTCTATGCAAAGGAACGAATATCCTTCATTCAAATCTTGGAAAGTTGGGAACTGTTCAGTTCTTTTATGTGCGAAGGGAAACAGAGATTGATCCATGTCTGGTAGATAAGAACTATGAGCTGGCAATGCATGCTGGGAATTGTGGTTTCTCAGCAGATAAAGCGCCCAGTCCTTCCAGGTGGAACTTAGACAGTGCTGGAAATTATGACAGATAGACATTACACAGAAACAAAAGACCTTTCAGGACATCTGAAATCCCTGAAATGGAAAAATAACGAGGCTGGAGAAGCAGAGCCAGGTCCCATCACCTTCCATTTGTCAGCCCCAATTCCAGGTGATTAGAATGTTGTTAGCATCGGACTAGCAGCAGAGGAAGATTAATATGATTTCACAAAGCGTTCTGTCGCTCTCCTCACCCCTAATCGGCTTGTGATCTTACCGCCCACTCTGTATCAGGACAACATTTACAGAAAACAGAACATAAGTCACTAAGTAAACAACACACTTCAAAATGCAACTTTGCCTTCCTTCGGGATGGAGTGTCTCGATTCTCTATGATCAATCATCTGGCAGATGTGTTATCTGGGGTGAGGCAGGCTAAATGCACATTTTTTATTTATATTTTTTATCTAAAGATGTGTGCTAGTAAAACTCCAGGAGTACAAAGGAACGGTCGTAGAAGTTTGCTAAAGTATGCTGAGGAGGAACTCAGAACGAACATGCTGCATGATATGCAAGGCCACCATTAGAAATCAAAGGGCCCCTCCACCACACAGAGAAGGGACTGTAAATACCATATGCACAGTAATCCTGCCAGTTGCAGCTCCCAACAAATAAATAGAAGTTCCCTGGGCCTCATCAGTTCAGCAACAGGAACCAGGAATAAAGAGGGGACTGTGTCACGCTGGTTCTAGTCTGCCCTGGAGGATTGATATAATAAGAGGCTGGAAAGGTCATTTATTTGTCAGGAGCCATGGCATGGAGGATTACTCCGACTGCTACCCAAAAATGAGTTAATAGTATCCTCCCTGTCCCCGGCCCCTGTTGCTTCACTGATAGGGCCCAGGGAACTTGTATTTAAAGCGTTATTAATATCGGTGCTGGTGGCATTTTATGGCACTTATTTTTGCAAATGAAAAGAAATTTAGCAGTTTCATGTTGTGTTGATTCAACCATTAGCCGCCCGGCCTATAGCCGTTTGGCGGCCGCAAAAATGCATTACCTTTCCGGGGTGTACGCCATTTGGCGTCCTCCCGCACATGCGCAGTTTGCGCGGTGGCAGAGCCGCGCAGCGGCGTGATCTCTCACCGGCCGTGTACCTCGGACACGGCCGATGACAGATCTGAGTGCCGGCCCCGTTGTCGGTACCATGTGACCTGCTGTGACCAATCACAGCAGGTCACATGACAGTTGTATACAATGGATGGCTTCATTCATGCCATCCATTGTATACTAGTGCCTAGCTGTGAATGGTCACAGCTAATCACATGCACATGTCATGTGATTAGCTGTGGCCAAATCACAGCTAAGCACAAAATAAAAAAAAAAAAAATAAAAAACCTGAATGAATCGATTTCATTCAGGTAAATGCTTGCTTATTCCAAAGTAATTCTTTGCTATAAGCAAATTTTTGTAAAAAAAAAAAAAAAAAATTACTGATCACTTCCCCAAAGTAGTATAATGTTACTATGGCAACATTGTACTACTTTGGTCGTAGTAAAATATGAAAAAAAATCTTAAAAAAATGTAATAAAAAAAAAAAAAAATAAAAAAAAAAAAATATATATATATATATATATATATTTTTTTTTTTTCATACTATCACCAGTCAGTGTCCCTGATCACTGCCATGCCAGTTATATGATGATGCTGTACTGCACTGGTGACAATATGTAAAAAAACAAATAGTGAAAATAATTTTTTTAATTTTTTTATTTTCCGAAAAATTATGACAAAAAAAATAAAACTTCAAAAAACTCACCATTCCTCTTATGAAGTACGTCGGACTGTCTACTCTGCAAAAAGGGTCATTTGGGGGATATCTGTACTGTTCTGACATTCTTGGACCTTAAGAAATTAGATTGGCTGTCAGTACTTCAGGATTGATCAATATTCAGATCTATACCATAGTTTGTGAACTATATAACTTTCCTACAAACTAAAAAATACATCCTAATTTGGGTTATTTTCACCAAAGACATGTAGCAGAATACATCTCGGCCTAAATTTATGAAGAAAAATTATTTATTTGTAAACTTTTATAACAGAAACAAAGAAAAACGTGTTTTTTTTTTTCAAACTTTTTGGTCTTTTTTTGTTAATTTAGCAAATTTAGCTCTAGTTGTGTGAAGAAAATGATAAAATTTTAGTTTGGGTACAATGTTTGTATGACCGCGCAATTGTCATTCAAAGTGTGAGAGCTCTGAAACGTGAAAAATGGCCTGGGCAGGAAGGTGTAAAATTGCCCGGTATTGAATTGGTTAATATTTTTCTACTCTTTTTAAAATGTATTTATTTATTGGGGGGGGGGGGGGGGGGGGGGTAAGTAAGCTGGTCTTGCCTAGGGCACAAAATAGTCTAGCACCGGCCTTGTCTCTATAGACACCTCCTAGCTGGGTACACCTCTCCCAGGAACCCTCCAAGGAAGCAGCCTCATACAGGGATCTCCAGCCCTGACCTAAAAGGCTTTTTGAAGTCTGCCCTATCTCCCATCTCTTTAAGGAATAGAATGTCTACAACTCTGTCTATCTGCTCCCCCCCCCCTGGTATGCAGATACAGGTGCACTGCACCCGGTCTCCTGCCCTGTCCAGGTCCGATATGTGTTGATTACATTCTCACAGATGTGGCATGTATGCAGGGGCGGACTGGCCATTTAGACACTCGGGCACTGCCCGAGGGTCCGGGGTCAGTAAGGGGCCCCATGAGATGCCCCTGGTACCTTTTTCATAGGCTTTTTTGAGTTTGGGTAAGGACACAGGGGCCCCATGCTCCCCTATTGCCCAGGGGCCCCATGAGTTGTCAGTGCGCCCCTGCATGTATGGCTCCCATGCCTCAAGTCTACTGTGTCCTCTCCCCACCTAGCTTATATATGGGTGCTCGTTCACCCAGTGGTGTATTTAGGTTTCGTGCTGCCCTAGGCAAAACAAAAATTGGCTTCCCCCCACACAGAGATCTTGACACCGACCAACATCCCCCTCTCCCACGAAGACAGCCTGACATTGACCAACAACAACACCCCCCCCTCCAAGAGAGCTTTCTACTACCCACCACCACCCCTCATACACTAGCCACCCCCCCAGCACGGTGAGAGAGAGAGAAGACACTCACCTTCATAGCTCTGGACATCCCCGTGAACAAGAGTAGGGCTCTGCATACACCATCAAGCAGCCCACAGCATCTCTCGGATTCCACCTGGTCTTCATTCGGCATGTGTTCCTTCTTCCATTCCTTCTTCCTGATGGCGGCACTGCACCCCTAAAAAATTCTGCTGCCTCCCTGAAAAATGCTGCCCTAGGCAAATGCCTTGTTTTCCTTGTGCCCCTACACTCACCTGTGGGAAGGCTCTACCCAAAAGAGGCCTAACACCTCGTGTCACTACCTGTTGTACCAGACAATATTCTGGTACAGAGCTACCTAGTAGCAAACTGGCCAACTTCACCTGCCTACAAGGCTGTTAAGGAATGATTTGCATGACTTCGCACACTATCTTGAAATGGGAAGTAATCCCTAATATTTGGAATATGTTATGAAGGAGACGTGAATATCTTTTGTGCTAAGAAGGCTCCACTGTTCCACTGTATCAAGTAAATTAATGAGGGATGGGGCAGGGGTGTTGTTGATCACTGTCAGGTTCTTTCCATGGGGGGGACGTCTGGTGTTGGTCGGTGTTAGGCTCTCTCTGCCGGGGAGGGGGGGGGGCATCCGATTTTTGTGTTGTCTAGGGCAGCACAAAACCTAAATACACCACTGGCTCTAATGATTTGTAGTGTGGCTTCAGGGGACGATCAACCAACAAGCTCACATTAAGCTCAGAATGAGCAAGTGAGCAACTTATGTTTTCTGTCTACTCTTTAAACACAGGCTAGTCACACTCAGTTTATGTTATCTTTATTCAGTTTTGTGTTTTGTTCTGACATTCACTTTCTCTGTTTAGTATCCTATATGTTAGTAATGGTAACTCTCTAACACAAATTGAAGTGCTTTTCCATGTGGCCTGCACTGCCACTATAGAGAAAGTAATTATCTGTATAATGTGATCCATTTCTATTGTCACATTAAACTCGGAATGAACAAGTGAACCCACACGTGTTTTCTGTCTCCTCTGTAAATACAGATACTGCAGGCTGCATCTTTGTCATACCTCACACTCAGATTACCTATAGCCCTGTAACACTAGGCACTGGATAGGCCTCCTTCTGGAAGCAGCGTGTTTGCAGAAAGAATGTTTGTCGCTTGTAAAAGTGTCTAACACAGCAATGGGCAAACTACGGCCCGGCGGACCTTTTAATCCGGCCCGCTTGTTAATGGCAAACATTGGCTGTCAGGATGTAGGCGGGGCAGCGTGACGAACTCCTCTCACAGTCCGCCCTGAAGACCGGAACGGCGCGGGAACACGGCGAGAGGAACGCGCGGAGCAAAGGTAAGTGAATTGACACAATATGGGGAATGAATTACTATAGGGGGGATGAATTACTATATGGGGGATGAATGGGGGATGAATTACTATGGGGGATGAATTACTATATGGGGGATGAATTACTATGGGGGATGAATTACTATATGGGGGATTAATTACTATGGGGGATGAATTACTATGGGGGATGAATTACTATATGGGGGATTAATTACTATATGGGGGGATGAATTACTATATGGGGGATGAATTACTATATGGGGGATGA